ACCAGAGCACCATGGACAACATTGTCACTGATCTAACATCCAAGGCCAAGGACCTCAAGGACACCGTGACAAAGGAGGGTGAGTTACTAATCGCGCTCACGTCACAATAAATTATAATGTCATCAAAGGTGATTTATTTTAATAGTTTTTATATAGAGCTTTACACTGTGGGTGTGTGTGTTAAGACTGTTATAGATAAACAGAACCCATATTTCAGTTTCTCAGAAAATTATATGAAGACCAATATAAAAGACATTTGGCACTTTCCGGGAAACATTCATTGATGGCAGAGTGAACCACAGGAAGAAGCTTCCTGTTCAGAGTACTGTATCCAAGCATACTAATAGAAACTTGAGTGGAAGGAAAATGGTTTAAAGCAGGAGTGATAACCACAGTTTAAGACTGAAGAAAAGCCTGTCTGAGAGTTTTTGGGAGATTGTTGAAGTCTGAACTTTGGCTGAGGAGGGAAAAAAAAGGACAGGACCGTTTCTCAGATGTCCAAAGTCCTCTTTTCAAGCTAAAGAAAAATGTACATTGTATTTGGAAACCAGTCTACCAGTTTCTGGAGGAACAATGGAGAGGCTCAAAATCCAAGTGGCTCGAGATCCATTGTGAAGTTTCTACAGTCAGTGACGATCTGAGGAGCCGCGGTGGTCCGCTGTGTCTTTATCAAGTCCAACAGCAACGCAGCCATCTTGTGGGAACTTTTTAGAGCTTCATGCCTCGCCCTGCTGACCCCTTTTATGATGCGGATTTCATTTTTCTGCAGAACTTGGCACCTGGTCCATCAGCCATAAAGACCCATACCTGGTTTAATGACCATGGTGTCACTGCTTGATTGGCCAGCAAACGTGCCTTGCCTGACCCGAACCCCAAAGAGAAAAGGAAAATGGAGGGACCAGAGGCAGAAATGTGGACGACCTAAAAGTTGCTGTTACACCGAGTTGGGCTTCCTTAACTCCGCAGAGGAATATCACCTCCATGCTGCTCTGCATTAATGCAGTAGATCACTCAAAAGGGAACAGACCTAACACTATATATATATTGCACAGCAGGGCCGCGTATAGGAGGTAAAAGTTAAGATGATTCCAAAGGCCTGCCACAAAATTGTTTTATTTATATACAGAAATAGGAAAAAATGGGTTTCCTGTCGGTAACAAATTAATTCTATTGTGCTTTTTTTAAAATAGTTTTTAGTTGTAAACATTAAATGTTTCCACTCCCAGACCAAAAAGCATACATTCATATTTGCACCGACCACCCCCCTGGATCTGCATGAAATGGTCCATTCCTGCTTAGCACAAGATGGTGATGGTGTTCAGCAGCAGTCAGTGGAAGACCTGAATTACATTTTTTTTGTCACAGGGCCCAAGACTCCTGGCAGTGCCCCAGTAGCACTTTATATATATTTTTATATTGGTCTTATGTAAAGTTCTGAATTTCTTTGTTTTTTATATGCAAGATGTAATCCATAATAATGAAAATGAAGAAAAATAAACTATTTGAAAAAAAACATCTGACTTTTTTTTTATATTGAATAAAATAATTTTAATGAAATGTTAACTTATTTACATGCATGCTATTCTATATATACATTAAGCTCTAACGCGATGCAGTAGACTGTAATATTTTGCAATTTTTCTTATTCATTCTTTTTCTTCTAGCTGTCCACCAAGTTCTCGGCCGTGAAAAGGATGACTGAGAAGCACAGAGGATAACCGCGTGTGTGTGTGTTTGTGTGTGTGTGTGAACGTCACCTTGTTCCGTGGTCCTCTTGTGGAGATGGATGACTAACCGCCCTGCTCTTCGTGGAGTCTGTACCTTTCCTTCTGTGAAAACAAATAAAATACTGCGCATCAACATCAGTTTACTGCTTTCGGTACGTTGAAGACAGTCAATGAAGCTGTGACCTTTTTTGTGATTTGTGATGAAGACGACTGGGAGAAGCGTTTTATTGAAGAATCATTTGTTTACTTGTGGGTAGCTGTGATTGTAATCATTTTTTGGGGCAGATGACTAATAAATTACATTCAAGCTTTGAATTAAAATAGATCTAGCTCTACATTTGTATTGAGGTTTGATTGGGAAATGAATCCAGAGGTAAATCAACAGTGTCTTATGAACTTTTGATGATCTTCTCTGCTTGTTGGTTCATGTGAAGGGACATTGCCCTAAAATATATTTATAGACCGCCTTCTGGTGCGTTGATAATCATGTCATCTGTCTCCTTTCTCTCTTTCGTGTGCCAGAGTGATCTCAGTTTGAGGTATTGGGAACGTTCCCAAGCTTTGACATTAACTGGAAACCTTCTGTCTTTTAAAATGTCTTAATTTATTTTCTCACGATGATTTAAAGAAATAAAACTGGAACACCGATGAGCTGAATCTCTGTCTGTGTGTGGTTTTTACTTTCGCACTCGGTCTGCCTCGTTCTATGTCTGTACCACACTGAGTGTAATTTGGACATAATAAAATCCCATTTCACAAAGTTCATGCTCCGCTGCTTTCCTGCAATCGTCTTTCTTTTCGAAGCAGCAGTGTGTGTGGGGTATTCCACTCACCCCGTCAGTGTTTTTCCCTCATGTTGCTGTGAGGAATCTAGTGTTCTATCATTCAGTCCACCTAACTACCCATGCATTCATTTCTGCTTTTCTCTGCATTCATGGCTGAGGGGCCTCAAAAGAAAGACGGTTTGTGTTTGTGCGCTGGGTGTAATATGTTGAGAAATGGTGGACGGTCGGTCGGCCCCAGAGGGAATGGGGGGCACTCATCTGGAAGTTGTTTCTGCGAGGATGTCTTTGTGTTTGGTGCGTATGCTTTCAGTCCCGTAATTGATTTGGTGGAGGGGGAAAAAAATACCCAGATTACTTGGTAATCTGTATGACACTTACTGGAAAACAAGGACTTAAATATTTTCCAGTTTTTGCAGAAACGTTGAGACTGAATAACATTTTGTACTTCCAGAAACCAAGGACTTTGATCTATTTATGCATTCATTCTTCCGTTTCCAGCTGTCAGTCTGGCCATCCATTTGTCTGTCGATACAGGGGCCTGTCAGTCCAGCCTTCTTTTCGGTTGTTTTTGCAGGTTCCACATTTATAGCCAGACTACTCTAGGTATAGCTGCAGCAATGTTATTAAACTTTCTATTTATGTCAAAATATGACCAAACACGACTGAGAATCAACATTTCTATACAAATGCAGTTGGGGACCTGCCTAAAGATTGAAATGTTTAACTTAAAATGCTTTTTTTTCCCTCTCCATAAATTTCCAACTGATAGATCCTAATGCACATGTTGATCCTCTAACCGTGCACAGAAGTAGATATCTGTTAGTAGAAAATGACCAATAAAGAACAAACTTTCTGACTTAAGAGATTTCTTCCACTTTAAGGCGTCTGAAAAGCTGTGAAGCAAAAAAAAAAAAAAAAACTCCTGAAAGTCATCTGGCTTCACAGAAGACCTAAAATCATTCAATTAAGTGGGGAAAACGGGAAAACAGTTCACACTCCGGGGAGTTCCCCTTCTGGCCGACAGAGGGAGACAAACTCAATGCGGAGTCGACGCAGAGCCGGTGAGTCACACGGGAAGGCTGTTCCGTCCGCGCCGCACAACAAGAGAACCCGGACCGGGGAGGTGGAGGGGGGGCAGATCCGCGGCCTTGTTTCAGCACCAGAGAGAAAGATGAGGAACATTGAAATCTGTCTGACGGCAGGAGGGAGATTCTGGACGCGCCGTGCAGGGCAAAGGCTTTGGGTTCTGGATGCGTTTGGGTGTCGTCACTCAGCCGTCAGCTCACTTCCTGGTACATCGCGTCTGGATCCGTCATCACTTCATTAATTCTTTCCACTGCGTGTTTTCTCGCCTGATTAATATGTACAATGTGCTGCATTCACGGAGTCCCTGCGATGAATGTCTCTGTCCATGGTGCTGATCTGCTTTCATTGGCAGTTTGGCGGATATATTTAATCAAATCTATTTTTTTTTTAAATTTCTTTTCATTCAGTTCTAATCACATTTGGATACAATAAACACTTCCTTCCACCACTTGATCTAAGTCTCTAAAATTTCTTACACCACAGAAACTTTCTTGAGAGCTTTTTCAAGACACAACATTGAGTTTGAACAAGATGCGTTTAATCAAAATCCACACCAGCTGTCCAGCACAATCTCCTAAGTTATACAGTGTTTACAGGAACAACTGGACCAGCATCACCAACCAACAGCATCACTGTTTCAGAAAGAAACGACATGTAGGTGAGCAACAGGACGGTGCTGCAGTGTGTTCCTTCCAATATTGCACTTTGAAAAGATCATTTTTAGATCTAATCCATTCCCAACTGATTGAAAAAAACAAAAAGAAAAGAAACAGCCAAAATGACAGACTCTGTGCTGTGACAGAGGTTGAGGTTTCATCCTGTCAGCATGGCATCAAACTTAAAGACACGTAGCTGTTCTCAGGAACATTAATGCAACTGAATACGTAATTAGAATTTAAACTTACACAGTAAATGTCTGGGATTTTAAAGAAAAACACAAACAACATAATATACTTTTCAAATGAAAGATAATTATGATTAAATGTCCTTGGATTTGTTTGTTTTTTAAGTGTTGCTTGGCTTATAATTTTGACATTTTTTTTCACTTGTTTTCTTTTTTCACTATAAATGTTTGGTGATAATTTCCAAGCTTTGGACATTCTCCTTGCCATCACCCTCATCTCCAACTCTCTCAAAGTGGAGCCTCTCAAACATCTTAACGTTACATCCAGTCGGGCGAAAAATGTCAGTAGGAAAATATCTAATGACACTTCAAACGTAAATCTGCAACGAATATGAATGAATGAATCCCCTGCTGGACTGCCTTTTTTTTTTCTTGCCTACAGACAAGGGAGAGGGAAAAGCACCTCCCTCATCCTATCTGCTGGAGAAAGAGAGAGAGAGAGAGAGAGAGAGAGAGAGAGAGAGAGAGAGAGAGAGTAGGGGGGTGGGGGTGCAGAGAGACTGAGATTGCGTGTGCGTGCTCCTCCGTGTGTGCGTGAGTGTGTGTGTGTGCGAGAGAGAGAAGAGAGAGTGTGAGTGGGTCGGCGGTGCTGGGAATCGGACGACATGAGCTCTACATGAGTCGTGTAAAAGAATGCTTTAAGACGCTCTCGGCGTTTGCGTTTGACCCCTCCGAGCCGAGGACGAGCCTGAAGCGGAGCCGCGCGCAGTAAAGGTCCATCACGACCAGGTATGGTCTATTTTTTTGTTTTGTTTTGTTTCGTTTTTTTCACGCACAAATATTAAATGTCGGTATTTTGGTGGCTGTTTTCTGTTCGCTGTCGGTGCGCACCAGGATTCCCGCGGCTCTCCTCCGATGTGTTCACGCCGTCGCGGTCATTCTTTTTTGTTTTGTTTTGTATAATTTTTTTTTATTTTATTTTATTTTTTTAGTCTCCTCCACATCGACGTCCCGTCACGAGCCCCGACTCCGTTCGGGAATCTCGATCGTGTTCATTCTCCAGCCGCCGCTGCCCATATGCCCGCACAGCCATATTGGAGGGGAGAGGAGTGGTGGTGCTAGTGGGGGTGGGGGGGTTGGAAACGACACACTGGTCAGGCTTATTTCATGGCTTTGAGAACTAAAGGGATGTAGGGGATTGGATGGGGCGGGGCGGGGGTGTGGGGGTGGAGGGGGGCATTTCTGCGACTTCCAAATGATGCACCGCTGCGAGATGGCGATCCTCTGGTATTTATGAATGAACCGAGCAGAGTAGGGTGGTCTGTAATGGCGCTGCGCACCAATCTGCGGACTGACGGCGAGCCCTCTCCCTGCCACCCCTTCCTGTCTGCAGCCCCGGCGAAAGATGCACGACGACTTGCACGACTATACACTATAAATATGACGCTGACGTGACGCATAAAGTCGTCCTTTTATGTGCGTGTGTGGCAAAATGTCACGGTTAATCCTCCATCTGGATCTGGGCTTTTTTAGAGTGTCTCCTCCTCCGACAGTCGATGCGCCGTTTGTTTTCAGTGCTGAGCCGTCGGGACATGTAGAATGAAATTATGAATCATTTCCCCCTCCCCCCTCCATCCTCCTCTCTCTCTCTCTCTTCTCTTCATGTGTGCGCATATATGTGACTCAACTTCCTGTAAGCGACGCCAGTCGTGTGGATCCATACATGAAGAGGAGATTTATGGCAGTGAATCCCGGGAGTGAAGCTTTGCAGTGTGTGGTGGAGATGCAGACTCTATTTAAGGGTTAAGTGATGGGACAGTGTTTTAGGTTTGCGTGTGTGTGTGTGTGTGTGTGTGTGTGTGTGTGTGTGTGTGTGTGTGTGTGTGTGTGTGTGTGTGTGTGTGTGTGTGTGTGTGTGTGTGTGTGTGTGTGTGTGTGTGTGGAATAGTCACGGTACAGTTGCATAACATCCATACACCTCTACTGCTAAGGCTGGATGAAGAAATGACTCAAAACGATGGGATTGGTTCTGTTAGATGATCACGATGTTTGTTTGTTTTTTTGGATCTTTTCTACAATATAGCTTATATGACTCTGATATAAGGTGGTGCATACTGTCACATAAGTGCTTTATCCCTTGAACTTTTATTTATTTATGTATTTTTGCTAGGATTGGTCATAATCAAGAACTTGTGGTTCTATATATTTTATATAAATGTCTAAATTGCTGAAAATTTTTTTTGTGGCTTCCGGCTGAGAGTTGGAGCAAATCTGGCCCTCCAGTGGACACGCTTGTAATGTTTTAACATGAGAATTACAATGACAAATAGAATCCAAAACATACTATAGATCGAGTTTCCATAAAAGCACAATATATTTTTCTTTTTTTTTTTTTAACTTTTTTTTTTTTCTGAAACAAATGACGACAAATTAGGAAACTGTTCCCCTTTTGTTAAGAAATGCCTCTTTGTTTCATTAAAAAATGTTGTAGTTGAATTTATTGCTGCGCAGACAAGAAGAAAATTAACAATACTATTTAGTTTTTTAAGTTGTAGCTCTTTCAGTGCTTTCAACACTTAAGGATTCTGGGCCATGATGCAACAGGTTTTATTTGGATTCAATGTGACAGACCAGCTCAAAGTAGTGCAAAATTAGAAAGCAGTAGGGAAATTATTCACGGCTTTTAAAACGACTGCACAAATGGAAATTTGCATCTGGACCCCTTGAATCTGGTCCCCAAATTAAATCTGACACAGAAGTCACCCAAAGTGTTCGCTGGGACTTCGGCTGTTCTGTAACATACTCTCTGGTCCGCTGAGAGGTTATTTAGCAAACCGCATCGCGAAGACCAAAGAATGCTGCAGACAGGACAGGGATGCGATGGTGGAGAAGTTTAGAGCGGAGTTAGGTTCCCCAAGTCCTGGAAATCCCATTGAGCGCCGCATAATCCATAATCCATCATCCATCAACCAAAAGGAAAGGAGTGAGGCAGGGGCTGCCAGCCCACCAATACAGGGCAGGACAATCCTGGAAGAAAACCTGTTAGAAGGTGAAAATAACCTGAAAATATTTTTCAGGACATACAAAAGATATAATAAAATAATAACATATGATAAAAGATGGCTCTACAAAGGCTAAACTTTTTATGAAGTGCAAAAACTGTAAAAGCTGTGCATCATTTTCCTTTGTCTGACAGCTAGAATGAGCTATTTGTGTTCACTTGTCGCTCGCAAGCTCGATTAAATATATTAAAGTTTTTGTACTGTGATCCTGCCAGATAAACACTGAGACACATGAGAGTCCAGTTCCTGGATATCTGAAGCAAAAAAAAAAATCCTCTCCTTTCTAAGATAAAAGGAAAATATCCACAACTTGCCTTAGAAATATGTTTTACGTTCATCCAAAATAAAGGAAGTGGTCTCTCACGTGTCGTGTTTTCTCAGCAGATTGACACGAACCGCTGTTGAAATTGTCTCAAACTCTATCTGACCCTTTAAAATGCTACAGCCATGGCTGCTTTATACCTTAAGCTTCAAATTGTTTATGACAATACTACGCATAATAATAATTCAAAACATATATTCATGTTTTTAGTTGTCCTGAGGGACCAGATGAAGTGAAGTTCCACCATGCCCATCCATGTATCCTGCAAAAATACTGTGGAAAATATCAATAACAAAGTTTATCATTTATACTGATGGCTTCAGTTTATTTTAAACACTCAGACGCTTTTCCTTCCACATGATAGTATGGGGTATTTTCTTGCATGAGAAATTACAAACCCTCGAGTTTGCAATTATCCACTCCGTTATCTAATTGATCCAGCACTTTCCATTTGTGAAATATAAGTATTTTAATAAAAAATAGCTGTACTAACCAGTTTGTGTTTGGACTGGGAGCTGTGGGGTTACCTTTTCCTGACCTTATTCAACCTCACAGAGATCAACTGGCTCTCTGTTATCCACTGATCTCTGTTTAGCAGAACCGTAGGATCAATCCAGACCTTCAGACCTGCTTTTCATCCAGCCCTCCAGGGGTGTTTCCCAAGCACCACTAGCAGCGCTGCTTGTGCCAGAGCCTCAAGAGTACGCAGTCTTGGACTTACATAGAGAAACGACGCAAAACAGCTGTTTTAAAAAAGCCTAAGTGAATAAATCAAGCGCATTTTGCTGTCACTATTAGCCAGACCTCTGTGTGTGCGTCCCAGATGACAGGCGGGGGGATTAGCAGGGTCATATGGAGAGAACAGAAGGAGCAGCCCGGGGATCCCCAGGTATCACTAATACTCCAAACCGATACACGCTCTGACACCAACTACTGCCGCACAGAACCAGCAGGACTAAGGTTACAGCATTCCAGGTGTCAATCTGTCAAACGTTTCCTAGTAAATTTTTCTACTGAAGGTCCAAAGGAGCCGCGTGCCTCCAGTTTTATTCAGAACAAAGCAAGTCAGAGCGGAAATTTGATAGATAAGGTGAAAATTGCATGTATTTTCAGTTTTCAGCTAAAATTTGACATAGACAGCCATCCAGCTCAGAGAAGGAAACCTGACACCTTATGAGATGCTGCAGCGCATTACCGGTCAGATCATCGATGGTCAGTCAGTTAAAATTGATTTTGTCAGTCATAATGTGACTTTTACTGATTGTTTCCGTGTCAGAAAGTTTTGGACGCAGACGTCCCATGACCCAAAGACTGTTGGTAACTTAATTCCTGGGAATTGGGTCAACTCCGAGCCGTGCAGCGTAGGTTAAGCTCAGTAATTAGCTCCTAAGCCAACAGTGCCTGAGTGTCTTAAGTTGTGAGGCGGATACGCTCCATGAAAATGTCAGACTTTACAGTGGACAGACGCAGACGGAAGCCAGGGTCTTGCTCATAATTTTCATCTGGTTTCACATCAGTGGAGTCATTTCGGTAGTGCAGTGCAGTGCTGTTATGTAATGCAATGAGCAACTCGGTGTTTAGTGTAGAACAGAACAGAGATATCGTTTTATCGTCCCACATTCGGGAACTTTCTGCGCGACAGCAGCGAAGAAAGTAGGTTTACACGAGAATACAGAGGAACGCGTTGTAGGCTTTTCAACACATGTCAACATAAATGCTGTCATAAAAAAAAAAATAAATAGTGCACTCCAGTGAAAGGGAATGTGCATTTGAGTTCATTTAAAAACATACAAAGGCAGACTGTTTACAATAAGTGACCATAAAAGCAGCACAGCAGCAGAGATGTCCAGATACCAGCAGAAATGTTAATCGGAACGAGTAAAACGGTGCAAATATCAGCATTCCTGCAAACACTTATTAGCAGTGACGATTATAGAGCGTTGTGGGAAGGGCTGTTCAACGCATGCAGCGGTTTAAATGCTTCACTTTAGATGGCATTTAGCACAAGTGTACTTATAACTGTGCTCAATGCGCTCTGAAAAAGTCTACATGCAGAAGAACTTATTGGCTGCGTTTTGCTTGTCTAGACGGCGTGTTGGTGGCTGAAAACAGTAAGACGGGAGCCTGATGGCACAACAACCAGGGTGCCGTTTTAACGGGGTACACTTGGAGTGCTGCAGAACTTATAAATCTGCACCCTTGAATGAATTTTTGCTTGTTTATCCGCGTGTGAGAGGGAATGGTTGCTGGGCAAAGAGCAAGCACTGGAAGAAAATATGGCCGCTCGTTGTTTCTGGTTGATGATGCCGAGGTTGGCGTCTGATCAGAGCTTCCTGTTTGCAGCCAAACTAGCAAATAACTTCCTTATCCTGGAAAACATTTCTTAATGTGGAGCCGACTGAGTG